AAAAAAAAAATATAACAAAATATATAAAAAAAAATCGCGTGCTCTCCTAGAATCTAATCTTCTACTAATACTTTTTGAATATCTAACGATCACTAATTAAGTGAGTAAGTTAAGTATTCGCATCGAATTCTTATTGTAATATTTTTACACCTCATTTTACGTCCAAAAGTTTTATCACGAGGATTTCAGTTTAGTAAAGTTAATTCATTACAACTTGTACAGATGGCACAAGGGGGAGTACCGGCTTAGGTTTTATGTCCCATTACTTCGTCAGTCACAACCCTTGCGTAATAAAGTGTTGACCTTGTTCGTGTAATTCATGGTTACATATTTACCAAAATATCCTGATTTATATGTTTTGCTTATAAAAAATAGGAAAATAAATTATGTATAATCAATAATTATATTCTATAAATAATAATTAATAAATAATAATAAATAAATATGTTGGGGCACACAGCACCATCTAGTTTCATGGTGAACTACGAGGCTTTTGTTATGTTATGTTATACCAGATAGTTGATACACTACGCGTATATAACTTTAAATACATACATATTGTAAATATAAACACCCATAACTAGAGTACAAATATTCATGGTCATCATACAAATGAATGCCCCCAGCGGGACTCGAACCCGCGACCGCTGGCACAGCAAGTACTACACTACAAATAAGCCAAACATGTCGTCAAATTATATCATTAAATTTAAAAAAAAATATAATTAATGCACAATTTTATTCTTAGTATTGTAAGAATATCAAATTACCCACATTAAAATATTATACGTATTTTGATATAACCTTCAACACTAAAGTATGATGATTTGAAATCAGATAAACATAGCACATTTGTAGTTCTTTTATTATTTCTAGTATGTATAAATAGGCAAAGAGAGAAGAAAAAGGTATAGAATTAACAATTACGACGAGAAAAACACATTAGTCTCTGCTTTTAAAATTTTTCTGTAAAGCATCCGAAATATATGAAATCAAAAATTAAAATAAAACGCGAAAACATCGTAAAAATTGCACATGTCGAAGTTGATACTGTCATTTATATCGTGTATCATATTACCTCTATGTGCCCAGTACGTATTGTCATACATTTTGCGAAGCAGAACGAATTGGTTAATCACAACTCTCGCAGTTTATCCGCTAGGGACATATATGTAGCTTGAAACTATAAAGCAACAATATCTTAGCTTTGTTACGAACTTCATAAAACTTTACTTATAACTCCCTATGATTATTTCATGAAATGTCTAATAATTTCTCTTTAACAATTCAAACTGATATATATATATATATATATATATATATATATATATATATATATATATATATATATATATATATATATATATATATATATATATATATATATATATATATATATATATATATATATATAATAAAATTGTAACTAAGTCGAATCTGAACATTAAATATTTCTTGGAAAATCTTATTTAAATAGTCATTATTATCGATACAAAGGCCGAATCTATAGTTTTTAGATTTTTTGTCTGTCTGTCGCACAGTGAGAAAATTATTCGATAGATTTTGATGAAATATGGTATCCGGGTCAACATACCAATAGAATACTTCTTACTGCTGGAAATTATCTCGTCTCTGAGAAATTTAAACTATGTGTTAAGACGTACCAAGGAACGAATCGAGGGTAAGTCGCTAGTAGCAATATAAAACTGTATGTATATACGCTTAGTTGTCAAGCGGAATAGGCTAAAATAATTGAATTGTTTAAACGCTGAGAAAGGATTTCCCATGTCATGAGTCATATACTTTTATGGAAAGGTGTGTAGAAAAATCCTTACACTACTTAAGACTTTCAATCGTTATATCTGCAAGACGTTGTAATATTTTACTTCTGTAAAACTCATGTCATATTATAATTTATAATATATAAAAACAAGGTTTTATATCATATAAATTGTTTAATAAATGAGTTTGATTTAATTTAAAGTTTATTTTTTAGGTATTTCTTCGTATTCCTCTCAGCAAAGCCTTTTATTTCATATCCATATCGTGGGGGTGCATAAAAAAAGATATTTCGCTATCGTTGGGAGTCCGCCATGTTGGATTTCAAATGACGTCATTTATCTAACTATGCATATTCATCTAAACCAAACGTGTACGCAAAATTTCAGCTCAATCAGTTGAGGATAACTACTTTAAAACTCAGTTGCAAGATTTGACCCGAACAAACATACATACAAACATTGCAAGTTAAATAAAAGCTTGTAAAATTGCAATACATTGATTTTGGCATTTAATAAATTCATTGTTTAAACATTTTGCTTATTAAAAAGAACATTTAGTCTTAAAAATTTAAATTTGTTTATGAAATAAAGTCCTAGATTTTTTTCTATATCTAATAGTTAATGACAATTATTTATGACACTGATAATGATAAAAGTTTTATTTTTACAATAATCTACACTATCAAGACTAATACTATAAAGAGTTACCTCTTTATAATATTAATTGTAAGTTCGTAAGTTTGAATGTATGGGGTTGTCTCTGAAAGTTCTAATAGGGAGCTATATCACATCGGAGTTTTATAATCTATTTTATTTTCGATAAAAATATATTTACTGTAATATAAAAACTTTAATTATTGAAGACTAAAAAAATGGCTGCTGATTTGCTTGAAGTAAAACAAGATAAGGAGGGTTCCTTTGGGCTTCTAATGTATTGTACTGACATCACAGGATGCACCCGAACGAAGCGAAGGTTAGTCGCTAATATAGAATAACTAGCGACTCACCATCGCTTCGCTTGGGTTCGTCCCTAGGGTATGTATGCAACTTCCCTATTTGAATCGGATATTATTAATCCCTTCACGACCACGGACACGCCGGCGTTACAGTTAACAATAGATTTCTTAGAATTTTAATTAATCTTTAGAAATTTACCTGGAGGTGTTAAATTTTTCATTGGTTTTAATATATTTTTTCGTAGGACCCTATTTTTTTTCTAAAATAAAAGTAGCCTAAGTTACTCCTTATGACATCAGCTATCCGCCAGTAAAAGTCCTGTCAAAACCGGTCAAGCCATTTCAGAGATTAGCCGGAACAAACAGACAGACAGATAAAAATTGTAAACAATGTTGTTTTGGTATGTGTACCGTGTATACATCCATATGCATTTAATAAAAAGCTGTTATTTTGACATTACAAACAGACACTTCAATTTTATTTATCTGTATAGATTTAAACGTCATATTAGTGATTTATGGGATGTTAAATTTTATTTATCTTACTATCTTACGAATATATTTTTAAATGTGAAATTTTAGCTGTTTGGAATTTAGTGTTTGGATTTTTGGATGGATGTTTGTTAGCAATCACGTCAGAACGGCTGAACGGATCTTGATGAAATTTGACACAGAGATAACTTACAGTCTGGAGTAGCACATAGGCTTTCACTTCACTTTTATCCCGGAAAAATGTACAGTACTCGTGGGATAGGTTTATATATTATTTTTCTAGAGGCGAACCCGAGCGAAGCGAGGGTGAGCCCTTAGTTTTACATATAAATCTGTTTCTTTTATATATACAATACAAATAATCAATTTTCTTGATAGCAAGATGAAGAAAACAAAATGTAGATGTAATCTTGTCTCAATACGTTCTCAAATAATCTATGCAATATATTGTTAACGTTTCTTACAATCGACTTGATAAATGTTTGCCAACGATTTCGCATTTCAATACATTCAGATTTAACTTGACGTTTGGATAATAGGAATTCTCAAACATAAGTAACTGCCTGAACAAAGACATAAGAGGAAAGACATGAAATGAGCTAAAACTCATTCCATGTCTTCCCTAAACTTGGAATAAAGCTAGCGTTACAAGTTAGTTTATAAAGACAACGAAACGAAACAAATTTTAAAATAAAATTTTTATAATTTTAATTATTACTTGCGTTTTAACGTTTAGTATAGATTACTCAGAGATGAGATATTTTCTAAAAAAGTATCTTATATATTGTCCCGGATAACCAGCTATCATTGAACCAAATTTCATCAAAATCCCTCCAGTAGTTTTTCCGTGATGCGGTCACAGACAGACAGACAAAAATTCTAAAAACTATAGATTCGGCCTCTGTATCGATAATAATGACTATTTCAATAAGATTTTTCAACAAAATGTTTAATGTACAGATTCGGCTTAGTTAGAATTTTATTGTATTACTAGCGGCTTACCCTCGCTTCGCTCGGGTTCGTCGCTAGGTACGTTTTAAATAGATATAAATAGTTATGAGCCAGCGTTAGCCATATAAATTTTAGTTATAATCTCTGAAACAGCTGGACTGATTTTGACAGAACTTTCACTGGCAGATAGCTAATGTTATAAAAAGTAACTTAGGCTACTTTTATTTTAGAAAAAGAATTGGGTTCCTCAAAAAATATTTAAAACATACCTAGGGCGCTCGTATTAAATAATCTAAATCTATACATATAATAAAATTATAACTAGGACGAATCTGTACATTAAATATTTTTTGGAAATTTTTATCTATATTATATATTACTGTATCGATAAATTATATCTTATTATCCATACAGAGACCTAATCTATACTTCGAGTTTCGTTAGTAGGAACGAAACCTCGGAGGAACGAAATCACTATAATTTCTGACTTGTTTTCTCATGTTATTATTTAAAATGAAATATTTTTTAATTATATAAAAATATATACAAACAAAGAGATTGGACTTATGATACAAAAATAAATAAATCAACTGAACTAATTTGATCCTCAGGCATCGGCCAGTAGGTACTAAATATATAATACTATTTCTGAATAAACATATAAATCAAGATAATTTGTATGCTATGTGATACACATGTACAAGTATACAGATACATATAAATATTATATTACAACTTATATTTAGTATACAGATAATTATGTGATCAGTTTGCAAACAAATATATTGTGGTGCGCACAAAGTGAAAATAATATATGGAAATGTTGAAAATTGAAGTAATCTTTGTTGTGTTTGTGTTTCTGCTATTAGAATGTGAACCAGCCAGGATTTTAGGGATATTCCCTGTACCAGTTCACAGCCATCAGTCTGTATTTAGAACATTAACAAATGAGCTAGTGAGACGAGGGCATCAAGTAACTGTTGTGACAGGACTTCCCGTGAACGAGGTAGCCCCAGAGAATTACACGGAGATTGATGTAAGTCAAATTGGAAATAAAGAAAGAGAGAGATATTTATCAAAAGAAATAAAACCATCTGATGATATGTTTACTCAATACAATAGTATTTTACAATTAACATTTAATTATGTATTCAAAATATTACAAAGCCCAAAAGTAGATACTATGATTAAAGATAAAAATCAAAGTTTCGATTTGATTTTCATTGAAGATTGCACCAGACCAGGAGTAATTCTATCCCACTTTTTCAAAGCACCTGTTATATCAATAAGCTCTTATGGAGGAACATTTGGAACTTTCGAAACAACAGGAGCAGCCGTGCACCCTTTTTTATATCCTCTGCCTACTCGAAGAACATATCGTAATCTTTCAATATGGGACAAATTATATGAACTATACGTTCATTTCCGGCTAAACAAAATATATGAAAATCTGGAATCAAAGCAAGATGAAATATACAAAGAATATTACGGTTCAGATATTCCAAGGCTAAACGATTTAAGTCGTAATATTAAAATGTTATTTTTAAATATACATCCAATTTGGGACTCAAACCGTCCAATTCCTCCAAACATAATATACCTTGGTGGCTTACATCAGAAACCCCAAAAGGAATTGCCGAAGGTAATATAAATACAAAACACTCCATTAATTATGTCTGCATATCCTTGAACTGCGGAATTGTTGATTATAATATAAACAAGTTATTATTAATAGTTTATTTTTAAAATTCATTGATTAATCAATGAATTAAAACAGGTTATTATATTTATTTTATGTTAGTATAAAAAAAGGCAGTGGTAGATTTTCATGTGCGAATCATTTCTAACATGATTACCACTTGCCTTAAAAAGGGCTGAATACATGTATAAAAAATAAAATACCATTTTATTTTTATTTTTTATACAAATTTCATTTTTATTTTATTATGTATAAAAAAATTAAATATTTTTATAGGCAAAAATATGTGAAGAATAAGTTAAATATTTTGTTCTTTATATAAAGTTCTTTATATAGTAGCTAGCATGTTCAGCAGCTAATCCGGAGATCCTGGGTTCGAGTCCTAGGTCGGTAGTAGTAGAAATTCTTAATAGCAGCAGTTGGAAAGTGGGCGGTGTTACACCCCCAGTTATTAATTAAAATAAAGAAAATTAGGAAATACAATAATAAAAAATTGAATTATTAATTTCCAGGACCTAAAGTTACTTTTAGATTCATCTTCAAATGGTGCAATTTATATGAGCCTTGGCACTTTTGTTGATTCAAATCTATTTCATAAAGAAACATTCCAAATATTTATAAATGTCTTCTCCAAACTGCCGTATGATGTGTACTGGAAATGGAATGGTTATGAGATGTCTGGACTATCAAAGAATGTCAAAGTGTTACCTTGGTTTCCACAACCTGATGTGCTTCGTAAGTACAATACGTATCTATACTAATATTATAAAGAGGTAAAGTTTGTGAGTTTGTAAGGTTGTTGGGGGTAGGAAGATAGTTTGAGTCCCTAGAAAGGACATTGGATACTTTTTATCTCGGAAATGATCCCTTAAAGGGGTAAAAATGGGGATAAGAGTTTGTATTGGTAAGCAAGCTAGGTATGAACCCGAGAGAAGCGAGGGTGAGTCGCTGGTTTATTACATAGGTAACTTATTTTTAGTACAGCTTCAACACTTAACACTTTATAATTATTAAGTTTTAACTGTGTAAAATTTAAGTTAAATATAGTATCGATAGTTACATTGTCTCAAGTTATATTTTAAAAATAGTTTTCACATAGAGGATCATTCATAATTCAAACTGTGTCACGACTATTGTAATAATTTTAGTCAAATTTTGTGCAATTCAAGTACCTTATAAATTATAAAGAGCAAAAAATGCTTGTAGAAAAATCCTATTGCCACCCCAGAACGTTCAAATTATTATTTTATAGATATTACATACAAGTTAGCATATTTTGTACTGTATATTATTTTTTATTCTTAACTAGCGGCTCACCCTCGCTTCGCTCGGGTTCGTCGCTAGGTACGTTTTAAATAGATATAAAAAGAAAAAATCTTTCTTTCTCACATTTTAATTATATGTTTTAATACTTACCTATTCCGGACTAAGAGAAATCCAAAAATTAAAATATCATAAAAATTGGAACGCGGTCGAACGGGATAAAAAGTATCCTATGTCCTTCTCCTGGCTCTAAACTACCTCCCTGCCAATTTTCAGCTAAATCGGTTCAGCCGTTCTTGAGTTATAAGCGAAGTAACTAACACGACTTTCTTTTATATATATAGATGTTATTTTTAACTACCACAGGTCATCCAAACATCAAGTTGTTTATAACCCAAGGAGGACTTCAATCTACTGATGAAGCTATCACCGCGGGCGTACCACTGATTGGCATACCTATAATTTTTGATCAATTTTTCAATACAAATAAATATGTTGAGTTAAAAATAGGCCAAGAGTTAGATGTAGAGTTGCTCAATGAAGAGAATCTAAGTAACGCAATTAATGAAGTGATAAACGATAAAACGTAAGTTGTTCTATTTTTAACCACCAAAGCAAGCAGAGGGGTGTTATAAGTTTGACCGCTATGTCTGTCTGCAGGTGTGTCTGTCTGTGTTACCATAGCTCTTAAACGAGTGAATCAATTTGGATGCTTTTTTTTATTTGAAAGCTAGTTTCTTGGCGATGGTTCTTAGACATGATTGATTAAAATCAGTGCAACAATTTACTAGGTATGAGGGGTGAACGTGGGTGAGACAAGTAAAAATCTTTTGATAGTATACCGATTTTACCGTTCTCGCTGGTTTGGGAAACTGAATGAAGGGGGTTCAAATTTCGCGTCTCGCACCTCTGATATTTTCATGTGTGAATCATTTTTAACATGATTACAACTTGCACTGCGCTGCATTTCCGAGAGAACATAGCAAGTTTTCAAAAGACATGTGAAGTTTGCGTACTCGCGCTTGGTCAGCGAGGTGGACTACCGTTCCTAAGGCACTTGCCTTAAAGCCGCCTGGCGATTCATCGTATGCAAATACATTATTTAATAATCTCTTTCTACTCTATATATTATATTCTAACTCTATTCTATATATCTACTATGTATGTTCGCTATTTACTTTCAATTAATTCAAAACTAAGCACTTCTTGTGTGTGTGTGTGTGTGTGTGCGTGCGTGCGAGTGTGCGTGCGTGCGTGAGTGCGTGCTTGCGTGAGTGCGTGCGTGCGTGTGTGTGTGTGTGTGTGTGTGTGTGTGTGATATTACATGAAAGTTACTACATTTTAGATAAAAACACATAATTATTATCTTTTTGCAGGTACAAAAACAATGTTATAAAACTAAGATCCCAGTTGAATGACACTCCCCTAACATCACTAGATCGTGCGGTGTTTTGGACGGAGTACGTTTTGAAGCACGGCGCTGATCATCTAAAAACACCTTCAGCAAATATGCATTGGTTTATTTATTATGAAATGGATGTAGCTTTATGTACTATTCTCTTGTCTTTGATTTTTATTATAAGTTTCATCAAAATTGCTAGTGTGATTTTAAAATCAATTTTGAGAAAGGATAAAACAGATTGATAATGTTCCTATAAAATTTAATTATAATAATAAACACTTTTTAATATCCTTATTGTTTCAGAGTAAATTATATTTTTGTCAAGTTTATTGCTTATTATTGAGTACTGTGAGATGAAAGATATAAATATAACATGTCTAAAATAAATTCAAAGTCAGGCACAAAATCTCTGAACTCCAAACCTAGTACGTACAGTATTTTTTTTTCTTTATACCAAATAATATTATATTATCGTAATGACCAAATATTTAGTGTGTTACAAAATCAATAAAGAATTTATCATGAAGGAAAAATTTATGACTACGCTGCCTGCTCTCGACATATTTTGTTTTGGCATTTGGCCATAAACGAACATATTTCAGTACATATCCCATCCCAACTTATTTCTTGGAATTTTCCGTGAAATTTGTATGGGCGCTGATTTAAAAGGACTAAGTAATTTTTCCCTTTTTATAAAGAAACAGGCTTAAAATGGACGAATTTTTGGAAATTTCGAAGACACATTTTTAAAAATAAGGAAATTTTACGTAAGATATCATATTTTTTAACTCTGCTTTGTCAGTGTGTAAATTGCTGCGTAAAATAAATTATTAATAAGTTAAAAAAGAGTATTCACAAGGGCAATCACTCATTCACTGATTAAATCCGGAAATTTAAGTAAGCGTAAATTATACTAACTTGAAATTTGGCAAGTTTAGGCAGTTTTCTTATTCGAGTAGGTATCCGCTAATAAAGTAAATTCAACTCCTAAAGGAATAAAATGGTCTAATGTTAAAAATTTTAATAAAAATTCGTTATTTAAAAAAAGAGTGATCAAGATTTTAAATATCCTTATTATAATATTCATTATAATTCAGGGAATAAATGCTTTTGGGCTGAAAAATAGAAGATGGGGATTTATTGCTTGTAGGAGTTGAGCATTTACGCATAAATAAGCAAAAAAAAACTATATATAACAGATATAAATAATTTTTAAGGTTTCGTAATATTTTTAAAGGCCAAAACGGATTTTTTATAATTTTGTCTTCTTCGTGTCTCCCAGCCATTTTACTAAAATAATATTATAGCTATATTGCTGTAATACTATTGACAATACTGGAGTACAATTATAAAAAAATGGGGGTAACACCACATACATGTAGCTGAGGGTTGAAAAAAATATTTTAGCCTATCTAAACGTAAGTGGTCTTTGAATAGGCTATAAGATTTCGTACTTTTTTGATCAAGTCAAGTTTTGCAAAATCATATACCTCTAAAGTTGTAAATATTGCGACCCATATATGTATATAAATTACGCCCTTAAGACAAATTTACGACACGTTTGGCTCAGTTTGTAGTTACTCTACTTGCTGTGCCAGCGGTCGCGGGTTCGAGTCCCGCTGGGGGCATTCATTTGTGTGATGAGCACAAATGTTTTTACTCCAGTGATGGGTGTTTATATTTATAATATGAGTATCTTCGTCTTCTTCTTCTCCCTGCCCATTTCCCAAATTACTTGGGGTCGGCGCAGTACATCTTCAGTGTACTGCTGATAGGATTTGGCAAAAGTTTTACGACCGGCCGCCTGCCTGACGTCAACCCTCCTTGGGAATATTTATAATATGAGTATTTATTTAAAATTATATATGTGTAGTGTATCAACTATCTGGTATCCAAAACACAAGCCTCGTAGCTTACTATGGTACTAGATGATGTGTGTGGTAATGTCCCAACATATTTATTTATTTATTAAATATTGTTAGTAATGAGCGAAAATTAAGCTCAATTTTATTTTCGAAAAACATTTTAATTTCGTAAAAATATTTCCCCCAAATGATACAAAAGGAACAATGATTATTGTTTAAATCCTTGGTTAAACCTTGTTTTACTATTAGAAATGCGAAAGTTTTCATGTTGTGTGTTTGTATGTTTGTTACTCCATCACGCTGAGACGGTTGAACGGATTTGAATAAAATTTTGTGAAGAGATGAATTATGACCTGGAGTAACATACAGATGTTTTGTAAATATAATATTATTAATACAAAAGACTGTTTGTACGTCGCTAAGCTACTTGAGTGATAATGTATGTTTAATGTTATATTTTATTTTTTCATTATACAATACTTGTAACTCTATTTTTTTAATATATGCAATGCAAATAATCAATTTTCTTTATTGGGAAGTAAAAACCTTGATATAATCTTACCTTTCAATACATACTCAAATATATCCAAATGTAATATATTTTTAATGTTGCTTACAATCGACTTGATAAATGTTTGCCAACGATTTCTTACTCGTATTTCAATACATTTAGATTTAACTTGTCGTTTGTATAAAAGGAACTTGCAAATGAAAGCAACTGTCTGAGCTTCAGCTCATTACATGTCGTTCCCATGTTTGGAATAATATAAAGCATTAACAGGTAGCTTTATACTCGTAAATATATATCAGTTATTAGTAAATTATAATTTACTAGCGGCTTACCCTCGCTTCGCTCGGGTTCGCCTCTAGACAAACAAAAACAAATCTATCCCACGGGAAAAGGACATTTTCCAGGATTAAAAGTAGCCTATTTGTTATTCTGATGTAGGAACTATATTATTGTAAATATTTAAGCATTATATACTTTACCTCTTTATAATATTAGTATAATATTGTACATAGATGTAAAGATTTGAGGTATATTTTAAAATATCTTTATGGAAACGGTTTCGGTCAACAACATAATACCTATGACTAATATACTTAAGTCTACTTGTTTTCAACTATTTAGTTTGCTGTTTACGCAGTAGGGTTTTTTATTTTCGTAAATATTTTTTTTACTTCAGAACGTACGAAAGTTATAAAGGATCTAATTAACATCTCGCTACAAGCCTTAAGAGAGATAATAGAGGTGACGCGGCGGGCAAATGCTATTTTATGAAAAACCAGTAAATCATGCTTGTGTAATACACCTTGTGATACACAAATACGAGAATACATATATTATTTTATTACTTATGTATATTTAGCATTGAGATAAATAAGATAATTTAATTCTGTGATCAATTTACAAAGAAATATATGTATAGTGGTGCTTACAAAATGAAGATAATATATGAAAATGTTAAAAATTGTATTATTCTTTGTTGTATTTATATTTCTGCTATTAGATTGTGAACCAGCCAGAGTTTTAGAGATGTTCCCAATACTTTTTTATAAGATATATTATACACAACTTCCTTGTCTCATCATCTTACAAATGTCGAATTGCTGTTTATAAACCACTTTTTTAATGTTTTGTTTTTAAAATTCATTGATATGTACTTTATTGAAATACAATAATACATTTGTAAAACAAAATTGTTTGTAAATATCGGAGCTACTCTATATGTTAATCATTTCTATTATGTAACTTTGTAAAATCTATATGAATAAATTATTATTATATTATCATTATTAGTTTCTCAGCGTCTTCATAACCGTTCATTCATAAATATCACTTTCTTTATTTTGTTATGAATAGAAAGCGGTAACGGTTTTGCAGGGAGAATAGCCTCGTCTGTCCTACTTATGCAAAACTTGGACCATATGTTAATAATTTATGCAAATTATTTGAAAACTAGCTGTGCCCTGCGGTTTCACCGGCGTTAATTCTCTTAAAATCGGAATAGTAGTTCCTGAGATTAGCGCGTTCAAACAAATAAACAAACAAACAAACTTTTCCTCTTTATAATGTTAGTATAGATGTACAATTTGCGAAAATAGTGCTATTTCGTACGATTTTTTATTTATAACGAATAATCAAGGACGTTTGTTTGTCCTTATTTCAGGTCGAAATAGAGTGACGGATTGATGTGATTTTTTGTATGGAGATTGTTGGAGGGCTGGAGAGTGACAAAGGTTACTTCTTACCGCGTAGATTATCTCATTCCTACATACCCTTTTAACGTACCTAGGGATGAACCCGAGCGAAGCGAGGTTGAGCCGCTAGTTTTTTTTGAGTTACATTTTTTATTTGATAGTTTATTTATAATATTAATTATTTATGATAGTTAAATTTGTCACTATTAACAATTATCACAACAGAAAATATGTTCAAAACTTGCTAAGTAATTCTTAAATAGAGTTTATTTACGTAAAATTTTATCGACTAATTAATTATTATGTATGTTTAAAGTATATGATAACCTTTTGATATTTATATACTCATTACTTTCCTTTTCTTATCTAAATATTTACGTAACAAAACAGTAACGAAACCAAATCTGTACTTGAATTTTTTTTTAATATTTTGCCACGCATTGTTTACAGGATAGAATATATACAATAATTGCAGAAATTTTCGTTTGTTTACCTGTTATGTTGTGTGTATGTTGTCTACATCATATGTATATATAGTATATATAATTTTAAGATAATTATTTCTTTCTTAGATTCACGCGAATATTTGACAATTTAAACAAAACTATTTCTTGATTCTGTTTCTAAGAATAACTATTTAAGAATAAAAATTGCATGTAGGTAAATCTCGTGTTCGTGTAATATATAATAATATATGTACCTACAAGAAGTGTAAATTCTTAAAAATGATGCTCTGTACCATATTGAAGTTAACAGGATTCAACGACAATTACTAAGGCAATTTTGCCACAAATTTTCGCCAGTTCCTTCTGATTAATGGTAGGAAAAGTTTATGAACAAATTAAGGGTAATTGAAAAATATTTCCTTTTGCCTCTAAGAAATTTCGTCTTAAATAACAGGTTTTTCTTGCTGAATAGAGACGTATTATGGGTTGAATGTATTTATAAATTAAATATTACTTAATTATTTCTTATTCAACAGCCGAGTTGGATAATTTTTCAAAACACGGAATATTTTTGTCAAGGTTAAAATGATTTCTTTAGGAAGTAAAATATTTTAGCTACTAATAATATGGTTATCTTACTACGTTACTAATATTATACGTGTGAAAGTTTAGATATTTGGATGTTTGGATGGATGTTTGTTACTCAATCACGCCAGAACAGCTTAA